TTACCTTATGAAGTTGATAACATTACCTTATGAAGTTGATAACTTTACCTAATGTATAATGGTTGGAGACGGCTTGAATGGGTAATGAAGAAAAACTTTAATATAAGTTTAACATAACAGCAAATGTACAACGTTTCGACAATACCTTATCGAAACGTTGTACATTTGCTGTCATGTTAAACTTATATTAAAGTTTTTCTTCATTACCCATTTAAGCCGTCTCCAACCATTATTAGTCTCAAAGTGGGTTCCTCGTCATCGAATTAGTCCTACTAACTTCAAAACTGCGAGAGAAGTTAGCGGACAAACAAATTAACAAATACACAACTTGAATTAATATAAGATTCTATTAAGATAACCTTAAAGAATCCTTATATTCGATACTCGTCACAAAATCTGAGAGTTGCATTATTAACCTAATCATTCCACCGACGTATCTTAATCAAATGGAAAATATCGAAAAAAATACGATCTGTATTTAACATTTATTTTACTCATTAAGATTAGTGATCAAAAAACATGATGATTTATCCTCTATCTTTAAAGCGTTCTTTGATATCTTACCTCGTAAAACAGTTTACGAAGGTAAGGCTTTTTTTTTGTACAGAGATTTAAATTATCAGCGATAAGTTCGTGGGAGGTTTCAGTTACTTACACAGAAATTCTAGTTTAAAAATCTGTAGAAATTAATCTTGTAATCGTGACATTTTAGTTCGAGATATGTTAGTAAGTAAACTCTGGATGATTCATAGAATAAAATGCTCATCGCGCGATCACGCTAGTTCCTTTACGGCATGTGAAGAACAGCAATAACTCACACCGGTGGTCTAAAAGAAGTGTCACGTGACGCATGTCAAGATGCGAAGATCTTTCGGAGATCGGTTGAATGATACAGCTAAAGTCAAGAGAGAGGAATTATGAGTTCAGGTGTATATATTTTATGGTCTGTCTCCTCGAACAACGTCGGTTGTCATTCTAAAAACGAATGTGTGTGTGTCTGACAAACTGCCTTCTCTGATCGTATTTTGTCGCCCACTCAGGTTCGTTTATATATCTATACTAACGTGGTTGATGTGAGTGATATGAAGAGTCAGATAGCGAACCGAAAAGTAAACCCAGTATTAACTGTTATAACAAAATATTTTGTTCAGTTGGTAGGCCTACATCTTTCCCTCTCGGAATGTATCTTTGTTTTGGTTTTATTAAACATCAATAAACAATTTTATTATTATTATTCTTAGAGAACTATTTTTAATATAGTATTGAAGAATAATTGAAGAATTATCAGGATGGTTAGGGTTAAGTAGCTGGTTCTGAATAACTTTCCTATTGTTTCTGAAAGTCTCAAAATAGCATAGATGTGGAATGGTCAGTAACAGTATGGTGTCTCTCCGAACCGCATCTAATTCTGTCTGTAATGAATATACGGAAATCTTCAGCAGCTGATTATATGATAAACGCATTGTTGCCCGATGAAGATTCCGGTAAGAGGGCCGAAAGCTCGCAATAAAAGTATTTTAACGTAGAGAAAAGTCCGTTTATAATTCTACGTTATGAGTCTTAAAAAACAAATGCAGACTTGGCGTTACACTCAAAACTACATTAAAAACCCCATAAACTTTGAGGTAGGTAATCAACTGAAACAACAGTCATCACTTGTCATTTTTTCTGATCTGTGATACCCCTTGTATATAACTTTTTTTAAAATCACATTACGTGTATTTCAAGCTAATCACATTCAGTATATATATGAATATATCCATCACTGTGTCAAAAGCCTTTTAGCGGATAACTCAGAGATTGGTTTTACGTAAGATTTCTGAAGTATAAGTCTAAACAATTTTACATGAGACATCATTTCGTAGAAGCTAGTTATTCAATATTATTAGCTTTAAAAATTGTTTGTAACTCATTTTAGTTGAAAACAAATATGGCTACAACAAACATTTCTTAAGTTTTGGCCGAACAAACATTTGGAAAGCTATTGTTGAAACAAACATTTATGGGTAAAGGCGGAAAGAAACCTTTGTTAGATTTTGACTGAAGCCAGGAGGCTATGGTTGAAACAAGATTTTGACTAAAGAAACATTTGGTAGATTATGGCTAAGAGTAATATTTAGTAAACCAGAAAGGGCAGTGGAAGTTCTTATTCTTTGAATGAGAATTGTATATCAATTTTTGAACTTAAATGGTAGATCATTTTGAAACTTTAGTTAAGCTACATAAAGTAGTCGACTATAATATATATATATATATATATATACTACACACACACACACATATATAGACACATATACATTTATATGTGTGTGTGTATACACATAAATACATAGACACATGCATTTATATGTGTGTATACGCATACACACGCATACATATATGTATATACATAAATAAATGTATATATATATACATACACATAATTACACACAGACACAGACATATATATATATATATATACATAAATACATACACACACAAGGAGAGTATTTGTGTTTGCATTTCGAATTTATGGCAAAGCTATAGGACTGTCTTCTATGTTGAGCTACTGACCAGGTTTGATAGGTCATTCTTTTTGTCAGATTATCTTCTGTTGAAGGCGTATCATTGTTTGCATACTAACTTCACGATTTTGAATATCTATACTATTAAACTAAATGTGATTGTGTAAAAATCCTTGTACAGTTAAAACTACTAAACAAACGTCGAGTGTGTAAAAACCTTGATGTAAATAAAAATACTAAACAGAAGTCGAGTATGTAAAAACTCTTGTCTTATTAAAGGTACTAAACAAACGTCAAGTGTGTAAAAACCTTGATGTAAATAAAAATACTAAACAGAAGTCGAGTATGTAAAAACTCTTGTCTTATTAAAGGTACTAAACAAACGTCGAGTGTGTAAAAACCTTGATGTAAATAAAAATACTAAACAGAAGTCGAGTATGTAAAAACTCTTGTCTTATTAAAGGTACTAAACACACGTCAAGCGTGTATAAGTATATTTTCTATTTTCAAGTAAAATACAAACATTCAGTGCATCTTCATTCTTTTCTGCGTCTAAAACTAAACACCCGGTTTAAACTAAACTATAGATACACTTCTTATACCGATTCTGCTAAACTTAGTTTGAATGTATATAACCCTGAACACTCCTTCATGTAAAAACAAATAATCAAATATAACCCAGAACATTCCTTTTCCTAACAATAATCAAATATATCCCTGAACATTCATTTGTCTAAAAACAAATAATCAAATATAACCCTAAACACATCCTTACATAAAATCAAATAATCATATATAAACATAAACACTCCTTTACACAAAAATAAATATTCAAATATTACCACAAGCATTCCTTTATATAGAAATAAATAATCATACATAACCTTGAACACTCCTTTACATAGTAAAAAATAATCAAATATAACCCTGAACATTCCTTTACATAAAATCAAATAATCAAATATAACCCTGAATACTCCTTTACCTAAAAACAAGTAATCAACAGAAGTGCGCGCACTATCGTTTTCCTAGCAGCTTTATCTTCTAAAATATAAAATGCATTTAAAACGTATCTTTAGTAGTTAAATATATCTTGTCAGGTATATATAAATATAATGTTTCAGACGAAATTCAATTTACGCCCTTGTATTTGACTTAATACAACGTTTTTAAACGTTTTAAATATCATAACTTAAAAGTTGCTTTAAATGTTTTTGAAAAATTAATGATATTACAATTTTATTTGCGTGTAGGCTTCCACTTTGTCATAATTGGTTAAATCTTGTTTTACGTGTTGGTCAAGTGATCCATGGATGATTATTTATATGTGCATGTGTTCACAGTTACATATCTATATACCATATTAATTATTTACGTCTTTATGTAATTTATTTAAAAAAACTAGGTCAAGTTGATTTGAAACAAAATAAAATCATATATTGAACATCAGGGTTTACAAAGCAAGAAATAAACTGCTTTCAAATGACTAGGATTTATTACAATATTTATATTTTAACAATCAGGTGATGTTAGCAAAATATATAGTAGTGTTAGAAGTGATAAGTTGGTTTATCAAACGCACCACCAAAACACTGTTGGGCAAACACATCACCAGAACACTGTTGTGTGTTTTACAGCAAAACCACTTCTGTGATCCTATCGGTGTAATCCATTTCTTATGTAATTATTCGAGAGTAAATATACGGTGTGTGTGTGTGTGTGTGTGAGGTTATTTTTGGCATATTTTGTTGGCTTGAAAAAGAAACCAATACGTATGTGTGTGTATATTAGTGGAATTTGATCACTGACTCCTGTTTTAAGAAAGGGGCACTGTTCTCTAACCCATTTCCTGTTTGTATGGACGCAAATTATAGTCTTTTAGTTCCCTATCTTTATATTATTATGATAGTTGTTAATCACGCACATAAGTTCGGAACGAACTCATAATGTAAAAAATACATACATTTCTGTTTAATTTTTTAACAGACCCCCATTGGCACAGCGGTATGTCTGCGAACTTACGACGCTAGAAACCGGATTTCGATACCCGTGGTGGGCAGAGCACACATAGCCCACCGTGGAGCTTTGTGCTTAACTTCCAATATACAAACATTTTTTTTGCATAAACGGTTCGTGTACTGATTGCATAATCTAATGCTTTTCTTTTGTGAAATCATCTTCTAAGTTCTAGAAAATTTAATGTTTAATGTAATCAACTTAGTATAACTAAACAAAATTGTTATGATAAGATAGTGGCTTATATGTCTTACAGAAATTATAGAAAAATAACCAATCATGATGCCTAAGTTGTGTATGTATTTAATTTTGACTACTTTCAACTTCTATTCGTTAAAATATTTTACGTTGTTCATCATATTGGGAAAATAGTTATTTCTTTTTTCTCAGACGTTTCACACTTTTTTTTAAAAACCTCTTACCTCAAGCAAATGAGATCGTGGATCCTGATGTGACTCTTCTGTTTTAGGTTTCGGTTTCACTTTATAAACATGCAGCTCAGCCTCCAGTATCCGTTCATTTTTAGGGACATTAGACGTCATGTTGAAATAAAAGTGCAGCGGGTTATCCAGATCTTCAAGAAACAAAAAATAAACATAAAATATTTCACACTTTTACAGTATTTTATCAATGAGTATTGTATTTCAGTTGTCCTTTACTCTCCAAAGTAAACATATATTTGTATAAATAATTCTTTAAAGAATACGTAGCATTAATTCTATTAATTTGTTCTTTGAGATAATTTAACAAAAACTCAATAACTGAATATATATATATATATTACAATCACCTTCTTTTAATACACTTATGAGGTTTTGTCACAAGTTTTACCAGACCAATATATTTCAAGTAAAACGATATTACGAGTTACTTCAAAATTTACTAAATTAACTGTCTTTCAGTAACTGTGTGCTTCCAGTAGTGGGCTGTCGTAGTTTAGTAGACTACTATTAACTTCTGCGCACAGTGAAGGATGTGTTCTAAATGCACGTTGCCACACACACATCGCAAAACGAAAGAGTGTGTTTATTGAAGTGTTGTGCATCTCGACTTTATTGCAAGGATTTTTACGAATAATGTAAAATGTTACACATTTCTGATCTTTACAGAGGATGTACATGTTAGCCATAATTTTGACCTTACTGACAGAAGTTTTACAGAGAATATTAATGTTATACATTATGAATACTGAGAGAAAATTTACGGAGGATGTAAATATTATGCATTTTGACCTTACTGGGGGAAATTTACCGAGGATGTAAATGTTAGACACATTGACTTTACAGAAATATTTTTTTTACGAAAGAGTTAACACTTTATTTTTCAACACAAGATCGAAAAATGAAATACAAAGTTTAACCCATTCAGATGCAGGGAAAAAATTATAAATCATGTAATACATGCACCTAAAAGTTAAGTATTTTATATGCAAGATACTCACACTGTCGTGTGACACATATCATTACACATCTCACAATAATATCGAAGGCATCTGAAAACAAACGTTTTTTATAACCTGTTTTTTAAGCTTAAAGCACGATGAATATGAGTTGAAGTATTTTACTGTTATTAAGGTAAAAAATATTGTAAAAATATTCTTATAAGTCAGAACGCGTACTGTCACATTGAATATTTACTCAGTTGTTTTTAAAGATACTAAACTTAATCGTTTCTTTTTTATTTTGTTGCAGCAGAGATAACCAAACACAGTTTTAAATATATAAAATAAGATTGTCTAATATTATGCAAGTAATTTCGCAAATCACGTCATTTTCTGTTTCTTTTAATTCATTGGAACATTTTATATATAGTAGCAACATAGCATATAATATATATCATTGCAAGTCAATCTGAAAGTCCTTTTACGAAAAGTTTTAGAGATTGAAAATTAAATTTAACTCTTGGTAAAAGCAAATACCCTGGTAAAAAGAAATGTCGATTTACCTCAGGTGTTTACCAACAAAACTTTTTATCTCATCCTGGAGGATTTTTGTACTTACTCCATTCTACCAAATTTGGAACTTACTTACCTCAGTGTCATTGGATAATTCATTGTTTTCATATCAATAGTGCGTTTTCTTTATGCACAGAGAAAAAACCATTAACAACAAACCGACTGTTAACTACTTCAACGACTCTAGTCATAAGTAATAATTTAGCAATTTGTATGTTCTGTAAACTTTGGATTTTGTGTTCCATACGCTTAGACATATCATATCAAGCAAGTGTCCTTTAAAACATATCACCAAGGCAACGTCGTTCTTTCTTTAATGTATAAGAACAGGTAGCATTAAAAAACCCAGACCAGTTATTTTTATCAAAATAGATAAAGGGATGAAAAAAGGAGAAGGCTTGTTATAATTTACTAATAGTGAAGGTCTTATCGACATGTAGTTCGCTGGACTAATCTGTTGAGAGAATAAAAAAGCTATATGGCTTTATGGAATAAGATTCGTGTATATGTTAGACGGAGGAGCATAGTTGCGAGTGAAATGGTTATTATCTGAATCCTACGTCTAAACTGCAGCGCTTAGCAATAGTTATTTATATTAGTGGTTCATTATAGTACTAATAGAGCTTTTTTGCTGACGGCTGCATTTACCGTTGTCCATAAACTTTTAAGCAGCATAATTAAGTACGAATGAAATATTGAGAGGTCGCTCTTATCTACGTGAACCGCCAATGTTTTTCGTTCGTTTTAGCATTAATCGCTTTTCGTGATCTACAACAAGAACTAAAGTTTTTATTAGACACAAAATATGAACGGAATAGTACACCACAGTTAAATTTCACTTTGTTTTTTGGTCCCGGGGGTCTACAAAGATCTCAAAGTTTACAAAATAAAGAAAATATTCATTTTTGAAGGTGGAATAAGCTTTACTCAGTTTAGAGATGACGTATTACATCAGTGCTTTTGACATAAAATATTGCTTATTGGTCTTCGTAGCTTTGTGATAAATAAAACAAAAGAAACATCTTTTTATATTGCTGTTTCGCTTTTCGAGAGACAGGAAATCGGTGATAAGGTATGAAGCAAATAACTAGTTTTAATGTTTTTGTAAGTTTCATTAACTGCATTTATGACTTTTTCATATATATATATAATATAATTATTTGTATAATTCTTCACTTATTACTAAGTATATTTTTGTAAGAGGATTATTTTGCATTGTTAACTTAGTATGTGGACTGAGGAATAACCTAACTTTCCTTACCTGGCCGAACAATTGTGAGATAGTATTAAGATTACGGTTTAAAATGTTGCTCTCAGTAAAGGTATCCAACAATGCATCCTGATCACTACAAACTTTGGTCTTATAATACTGCAAGTCCGTAATTAGACAGATGTATTAAATTAAGTATTTTAATTTGTCGTTTAATTTTTAGTTCGGATCTGTGTACATAGCTTGATGTAATCACAAGCTAATGATAATAGTTTTTTATATTTCTTTGAGATTTTTCAATAAATCCAACAAGGTGTTCTAGCGTCTCAGTAATACAAAGTAAAAATAAATCCAAAATACAACATTTTGTACCTACATAAGGATATCCTTAGATTTTTTTATCTTGTATATGATGTTTAATATATTGGTGATAGTTTAATATTCTCTACATGTGAATTAGTGTTATTCTACAACTGCTAATCTTTATTGGTCCCATTGCGTTAACAAAAAGCATTCGCTGCACATTCGTCACTAGATGGCTATCCCATCGATGCTCAATATTAACATTAATATTTAACAGCAAATATATCTTCTTTGAATTTAGTCCAAAAGAAAAGTTTTTTTTTTTCTAATTTACGTTACCACGAGAGTTCTAGTTAGTGAAACAGCGTGGACAAATAAAGATGGTCAAGTTGATAAGTTTTCGGGTAAGCGGTCACTCGGTGAGCTCTCATAAATCACTCCCCCTACTGTGAGAGGTTGCTTCCCAAAAGAGACCAATCGACATTGTATAAACAAAGAAACTTAGGCTAGAGATAGAAAACAAAAACCCCCATTTAATTTATATTTGATATATATTTTTGAGGTATGTATGTAAAGTGTCGAATAAAGATATTTTGTATTACACACACACACACACATATATATATATAAACACTAATAGTGTTACCTAGGTACTTTGGACCAGTTTACCTGGTTGTTATATCGAAACATGGCATTATTTTCGTTTCAATTTATTTATTTTTGGTCATAACAAACAGCGAATTGTATTTTGGGAAGAGTAGCATATAACAATACTTTCTATTCTCTGATTATTCGTTCACTGTCTCTCTTAATATTTCTTAACTTAGCTTTTGCACTAAACGAGACCTATAAAATAATTCTTGTTTCTGTGGAACATGTTTTAATCTAAAAATCATAACCAACTAGCTTTAAAATAGGATTCTATGTTCTTATACACATAAGAATGCAAATAGGGTGGGAGGAGCCGGGCAGGCCACCCACCCACCTCTTCCTCTTTTTCGCCCTGATTTTTCCCGCATTGCAAAGCCTTAATGCAATATATTTCACACCAGGTCCATAAGGAAGGTTATGAATTGCATCCATGTTTTCATCATGTTATCTGCACCAAAGATCTGTAGAGACTCTGCACCAAATTACTCTATTGTTGGCGCCAAACTGATCTCAGATTCAGAATCTCCTTTAAGATTCTTTGTCACAGGAACATATAGTCTGGTTGTGTTGCGCCCATTCTTTTTGATTTCCTTTAGTATCAATAGGTTTACTTTTACTCCAGGAACATTTTGTGTTGAAACTGAGACAACATAATAGTGAGCCTAGCTCTTTTTTATTCCTTTTTACTGAGTCACATAGATCGACTGAATAAATGTTTATTAGTTAATTCAAATGAGATCCTTTGATCTGTAGTGCATTTTAAACGTAACAAACTGCGTACAGTCTGAGTAAAGCCAGGCTGGTTATGGCCTAGTGGTTACCGTGCCGGGCTGTGTATCCGAAGGTCCGTGGCTTGCGTCTTGTTGGTATAAAACAAAAATCGCGCTTCACACTTTGGGGTCATAAGTGCATTATAAGAGCGACGATCAAATTCCGCTATTTGATCTGCTAAGATCAGCTCAAGAATTGGAACTATCTAGTATTGACTAGCTGGTAGAGAAAATAGTCCTCGTGTAGCCTTATGCGATTATCCTAAATAAACAAATTGTATAATTGTCAATGGCATCGAAACCCGGTTTCTAGCGTTGCAAGTCCAGAGACATAGCGGTATGCCACTGGGGGATCCAAATTGTATAAAATCACTGAGGGTGCCAGCGTGTCATTTTCGGAATTCTGTGGCTCCATGGTGCATGAGCCTAATATCTCACAGAAAGAACAAACATAGAAAACAGACATTGAACTCAAATATAACATAATTTCCACCCGTTATTTGCGAATTTTAACAAAACTTATTTGAACTGTTTCAACTCTTTTTTTTTTTTACTTTCTTAGATATTTTACTAACATTAGTAAGAATTTATTGTAATTGTTTCTCAATACAGTTCAATTAATATGCCTGTGATGCACTAAATTCTATCTTCCCAATTCCTAATGCCATACCTAAACCAGTCTCATA